TCCGCTGTGCGTCTACGAGAAACTGCCGCAATATATATTTAAAAGTGCTTATTGCTATATGTTATTACCCTTATGATGTATGTACACGGCGTAGCAATAAGGGTCTGCAACTGGTTTTACGCATTACGTCATTTTGGGCTTAATTGAAAACCAGCGTCAGGCTTTCATCTGACACAAAGCTGAATTGGGTTCGTTTTTGGCATCAGTGGTAATTCAAGCTGCAAAATTGTCTAAAGTGTTGTGTTATTGAGAAAATAAACATTTTCTCTTTCTTTAGATATGTTATTTTCAAGAAGTTATTCCAGAAAAAAATATATATTACAATTAAAAAAAACACGCTTTTATAGCAAACTGAACTAATCTCTGATCCGAAGCAATCCCTGAATACTTGCACATCTATTATTTTACCATCTTCGAAGATCATACAGGCTGAGAATGAATGAAAAAAAAAGACTGGTTGGTTTATCAACGGGATAGTTCGGGTAAAAGTATTAGTTTAAAAAAATGGAAAAAATCGGTTTGTGGCATGTTCTTGAAAAAGAATCGAACAGGTGCGAACACTGGTTTATTGAAAAAAAGAACAGGTAAAATAATTTTTAATAAAAAAACAAAAAAAGGAGGTTGTAGTGTGAGGAAACACGAATAAAATGAGAATTTCTGAAGTAAAATTCGTTAGAAATTTTACGAGAAAACACGCTTTAATCGCGATTGTTGACCCTATATTTTCTCAGCTTATGTGATTCATAGGAAATCTCTTCGGAGCCCAAAAACATAGGTTTAAAAAACTGTTATTTATACTAAAATAATCCTCTATCATAGCAGCCAGGGTCACTTACCACTAAGCCAACAGTTCAGTCCAAAGAAAAAAGTATCTTTCGAGATGTTTTGCTCTGTATCAAAAGGTCATATTTCAAAGTTAGTTTTATAAAAAAATATAAACAAAAATGATAACTTCCAGCAACGCAGTGTTCGGCAACTGTGCAGGATTTACAAATAAAAGTTGGCCACAATATTTTTTTATGACAGCAATCTATTTTGAGGTCGCCCACATTCCGCTCCTGCGGTTAGAAAAAACTTTATTCGAGCGATTAGTACCAAGTTATAAACACAAATACTTATAATAGTATTACACAATAAACAACGTTTCCGTCTGAGCTACTTAGACACAAATTATCAATACAAAAGTGTTTTGAGTGATTTTAAATGAAGGTTAGGATTGATTATTTTGGTTTTTGTTGAATAAATATTATAATAGGCATAATAAATGTTTTAAAGTTATATGTTAGCTGTCCGTGTAGTGACGGATTAAGAATACGGAATGTCACTACCCCAATTCATCCCGTGGGTGTCGTAAGAGCCGACTAAGGGCGCAAAACAACGCAGGACACCAGCACTGCAAAAATAATGAAAACTTAACACAAACCCTATACCAACCCGTCTGGCCAGCGTGGTATAGTAGGCCAAACCCTTCTTTCTACGGAGAGACCTATGTCCAGCAGTGGTCTATTAAAGGCTGTTGATGATGTTAGCTTAATCTTTATTACCCACTAAGGGATATTTCTTAATTTTTTGTTTAACAAAGACAACTTCCGCACTAGGAATATATCCTGTGTCGCGGGGACCTTACAAACATACATAAAATTTGTTGATCACACAAAGTGTCGTCCCATGTGGGGATAGAACCCACAACACCATGCATATTAGAAAGCGGCATGGCGAGCGCTTAAACCACTACGCCATCCGTGCAGTTACTACCACGTTGAACGATTTTACATGAAGTGTAACCGGCCTGATAATCTAGCGGTTAGTGGTGCTGATCGTTGATCCAGAGGACGCGGGTTCGGTCCTCACTAAGAACGAATATTTGTGTGATATGAGCATTTGTTCTGTTTATGAGTTTATCTGTAATAAGTGCGTGTATTTAGAAATGTAAATGTGTTTTTATCAGTAGTCTGGTTATCATAGTTCAGGTTCTGCATATTGTGGTATCAGACAGCTGTTTGTAAAATAAAACAACAATCGTTAATAAAAAAGTCAGATACAACAGTAATAATGCTACTATTTATTTCCTAGTCGAAGACCAAAAGAATAAAACAAAGAAAGAAAGAAAAACAATTTATTCGTGGACGTAAGATCATACACCCACAATATAAGGGACACTTAAAACTAGGCTTAAGCGAAAATACATTTTTACGTGTAGGTACCTTACGTCGAATAGGACCTGGTTCGGCGTCTGCTTGACAGATGTCAAGCGCTGGATTTAAACCAGACCTATCCATATACCAGAAAAATCGACCTATGCAATAACAAAAAAGCCGGTCTGGTACGAGTCGAACTCGTGCGCCGAGGGTTTCGTACCTAACAAGATTTTACGTTAAAAGCAAGGCTTACAGCACAAGTAAAGAGAAAATTCTGAAAAATAAAAAAAGTTTAAAATTAAGGTGAATTTTTGTACTTACAAGTTTTCGCGAAAATCGAAATTTGCACATATTTTTTTATCGTGTTAACTCAGGACCTTGATTTTTATACACCTAATAGGTACCATAGACTTCAGTATTTGGTATAAATTTCAACTTGCTACGTCTACCCGTTCCTGAGAAAATCGGTGGTCACACGGACAGACGTACAAGAAAGTGATCTTATAAGGGTTCCTTTTTTACCTTTTGAGGTACGGAACCCTAAACATTAAATAGTTATAAGCTAATATGAACTATACTTTAAAGAAGCAAAATATATTATTAAATTAGCGTAAATAATATTATACTCAGAATATAATCCAGGTCCTTTGAATCTAGGTCTCAGATACGTCAGTCTTACATTTCTGTTGACATTCACTATCCGATTTGCAATGTTTAAAAGTACTTTAATCTTAAACATACTAATATACTTTCGAATTAAGTAGCTTACCTAGAAATTACTTATTCGGTAGGAGTTCGAGTGAACGCGAAGTTATTGCAAAACGCGTTCGTGAAGCGGACTTCGATAGCGAACTTCCTTTAGATAGATGTACTAAGACGTCTAAAGAAGTGGGGTTGCCATCATCATCATCATCATCATCAACATCCTTTAATAGTCCACTGCTGGACATAGTCCTCCCCTTAGAAAGGAGGTTTTGGCCTACTATACCACGCTGGCCAGACGGGTTGGTATAGGGTTTGTGTCAAGTTTTCCTTCTTTTTGCAGTTCTGATGTTCTGCGTTGTTTTGGGCACTTAGTCGGCTCCTACGACACCCACGGGAAGAATTGGGGTAGAGACATTCCGTATTCTTAATCCCTCACTACACGGACAACTTTTAATTATTCTATCTACGTTCTAAAGTTGTAGGCTTGCCAAGGGAACAACCCTAGCTACTTACATACATAAACGGGACTACAATTTTAGTCCGCAAAATGCAGTTGTTAAATTGTTTCTTTTGTATAAAATAAGTACGGAACTATTCAGCCATGAATAATATTGAAACTTTCTGAAAACATGTTCAAAAACAACATTTTCTCGTTTACGGAAATCGTGCACCGTCTGGCACGCTTTTTGTCGTTGTTACCGTAGAACTCTTTGTACATTTAAAGTGAAAACATTCGAAGTAAATTTGTGAATAATCTAGAACAATAGGATCGGTCGTTCTAACTTAGTGGTCACTCTTGTTTACGGGACACGATGTGAATAATTCAGAGTGTCTGCCGCACTGTGTCAGTGTGTTAAGGAACCAGCTTACTGCTATTGTTTTCATACAAAAAGACAGTACGGATAATATATATCGTAGTATTTGTACATTACCGTATTTACAGTACCGTAGACTGCGATTTAGAAACGTAATTTTTACACATCACACACACGGCCGTCTGATCCCAAACTAGGCAGAGCCTGTCCTCACTCCGGGATGTGCCTCAGACATGAGGTACGGCAGGGAGGACTCCAGAAGTCGCCGACGCGTTCCTGGAGCTCCTCCCGCCTGCCGAGGTAGGCCGCCGCGGGGTTTAGTGGGTAGACAGCATTCCCAAGCATTCCCCGTGTGAAAAAAAAGGCAGAGCCTGTACTATGGTAACCAGACTGCTGATAAACATACATATATATTTAAATACATACATAGTATAGATAATTACACAGAACAAATAATCGTGCTCATCACTACTAGTCAGGATTATGGGCGGCGATGGTCACTTTCCATCTTCACTTACAAAAAAAAAACATTAACCACAAACAGGCCCGGCTATCATCATCATTTTTTTCCATATATTGAATCCCTTTACAATGATTGAAAAACAAAACAAAATAAAAACCCAAAATCTGAAAGCACGCCAGCGACAGGAAATATTACCGGCTATGCATAAATGGTGGAATTGTGTGTTCATTCATAAGCACATAATTTCACCTGCGTTTAAATATTTAATATTTTCTTCTCCTTAGGATCGTAACATGTTGTTACATGGCCAATTATCTTCCACAACTAATAATCTCTTCACGGCAAGAAGGATTATGCCTATCTTACTTTTTTTAACGGCACGGATGGCGTAGTGGTTTAGGCAGGCGCCACGCCGCTTGCTACTACGCTGAGTGTTGTGGGTCCGATCCCAGCATGGGACGACACTTTGTGTGATCCACAAATTGTTGTTCTGAGTCTGGGTGTTCTTTGTGTCCATTTCATGTATGTTTGTAAAGTCCCCGCGACACAGGATATACGCCTAATGCGGGAGTTTCCTTAAAAAAAAAACTTATATTTCAAGAGATTGGCGCATTCAAAGAAATAAAAAATATTTTACTTAATTTGTTTGTATAAATTTCATACAATTTTAACTTAATAGTTGATTTTAGACGGAGTGTAAGTGTATGTCATTAAAAACGATTTTATTCGCAATTTCGTTTACACAATAGTATTCTGTGAATCTTTACATGTTCAGTAACAAGTATTACCTAAGATATATTAATCTACCTAACAGTTACGACAAAGATTAAGTGTATGTTTATTTGTCTGCAGCTGAGCCGCGTTCCGCCCGGGTGTGTGATGATGCCACCGCGGTACGCGACGCTCCCGATGCAGCCGGCGCACTACGGGCCGCAGCTCTACTACCCGGTACATGACGCTGTAAGTACGATATGTCATCATCATCTTTTTGTTATTTTCCCCATTTATTTCACAGTTTACTTCAAACACCCTTTTCTCAATCATCCCAATTCATTAATCTTTTCATTGTGTTCATTCCTCTACTCTTACTCGTAGTTCCGTCAACTTCCATTATTAAACTTTCCTCACCACATTTTGCTCATCTCTCTCTCTCTCTCTCTCTCTCTTTTATCTTAATTCAAATTGTTAAATGGTTTTCAGCGCATGCGCCGTCGTCGTTCGCCGCGTGCGACCACCGAGCGGCGTCGGCGAGAACCTCGAGAGCGCGACACACAGCTCGCTCGCTCGCTGGAGCGTATCCACCGCAAAAGAAGAGCTGAACGTGACCACATCACTGACGCTGACCTCAAACGGACTTACACCGGACTCGACAGGTAATGTAAAAATGTCTAAAAACTATTAAATTATTTTTAGCTTAGGTACTTTGATTAGTCAATTACGGATACAGCAATCAACCAAACAAGCATGAGATTGTTAGCCGTAGCTTACAATACGAATACACTAAAACTTTATTCAGATCACGTATTATGCTGCCCCCAACTTGGGTGCAGCATAATACGTATAACTTATACATATATATAAATAATTCTCCTGTCAACAATGCACAAAAAAAATAAACATAAGAGGAATCCTAAATATATTGTAACTGCAAAAAAAACGGCAACAACTAATGTAGGCTTTTCAATAATCTTCTTTAATTTATAAAATAATTACATTTCAGGGCTTACGCTGAGCAGTTTATAGCAGTGTGCGATGAGAGTCGACACGCAGCCGAGCAACATGATTCCCTAGTTTCAACATCAGCTACAAGTGATACCAGCCAGTCGCATAATGAGTTAGCTTAATACCATCTAACATGCCATTAAACAATGAAGACTTTCTGATCCATTACTGACCTTGTTTATTCGAAGATTCCTGGATCTTGGAGATCTAACTGGATAAACTGTAGGAAGTATTTACGCTCTTCATTGCTGTGTCAAAAACATTTAAAAATGGTGCTATCCAAATCTATTACAGTAAATCTTACGATGTTTTCTTAACCCTATCTTTAGAAAACCGTAATTTATTTTTCTTATAGTATGTTGGTTTAAGTGTTATGAAATAGTGTGAAGTAACTAATTTGTATTCATAAATGAAAACAAATATAATATTAGTTTAGAAAAACTCAAACTTTACACTACTTACAAATAAACTATCCAAGCATATCATACCAAACTTAACGACCTAGCTCTGTAAGTCACAATACTTTAGAATAATTGTACAGTATACTCATTAGCTTTAACTATTTTACTAACATACCCTAATACTATTGTAAACGTGGACTACACAAGTAGATATCAACAAATCCCAATAATCACAACGTGAAGTATCAAAGTAGATTTGTAATTCTCGAAACGAAATACTGCCATGGCCTATTTTGGCCGTCATATTTTTTTGAAAAAAGGTACCTAAATTTCAAATTCCATTTAAACGTTATTAGTATACGATACCAAATTTCATAATTCATAATTCATAATTCATAATACTTTATTTGTGGAATATAGGTTAGTTACAGATCATAAATGTTATGTTAAAGTTCCACTACATCCTACCACATTACGTGGTGTACAAATAATAAATCGAGAAAATAATAATTACAATTTAAATACATCACAAAAGAAAGAAGAAAAGACAATTTATGCGTCTACAAATATTGAGTCCAAATAATTACATAATAATTTTTCTGTACATATGTCAATTTTTAAATCATTATTAGCATGCCAATATTAAAATAATTCTACATAATAATATATATTACATTATTTTGTCCTGGAAATATTCGTCAACAGAGTAATAAGCTTTCAATATTAAAAATTCTTTCAATTTATTTTTAAATGACTGTACATTTTCTGAATTTAGAATACATTTGGGCAGCTTGTTATAGATTTTAGGTGCCATGACAAATATGCTTTTGTGATATAGGGCGGTTTTAGCTTGAACCATATGTAGCTTACCAGCTCTGCGGTTACTTGACACCTTTGAAAATTTTGACCAGTTTCGTCTAACAAAAAGCGCACTTTCAAAAATATAAATGGATGGCATTGTGAGTAGTTTTAATTTTACAAAGTATGGTTTACATGTGTCAGTAGCCAAGATATTACATATTGCCCTTATGCAGCGTTTTTGAGACTTGAAAACTAATTCTTTACCCGCTGCATTGCCCCAAAATATAATTCCGTATCTTATCGTTGATGCGACCAAGCCATGATAGGCAGTGAGAATTGTGTCTTGGTTAACGGTTTTGTTTAGCATGTGTAGTGCATACGCATATTGGTTTAGTTTACCACACACCTTTTCAATTTGTGCATGCCACTTTAGAGTACTTTCAATTTGCAAACCCAAGAATGATGCTACTTTAATGTCAGTAATACTTTTATTGTCGTATTTAATGTTTATATCCATCGTATTATTTTCTTTTTGTCCAAAATTCATAATTGTCGTTTTACTTAAATTAATTTCAAGATTATTCAAATCAAGCCATCCCACCAGAGACATAATATTCTCTTCGATTACCGAACTGGTGGTATTAATATTATCGTTATTAAATACGACGGTGCTATCATCGGCAAACAGTACCATAGGAAATTTTGTCGCGGTTGGAAAGTCATTGATGTAGATGATAAACAGGAGAGGGCCTAGTGTACTTCCCTGTGGTACTCCATATTTAATTGTCCTAGTATTTGAACTGTAAGAAGTTTCAGTTTTAGTCTCACAGCATATTCTATCAATTACTGTAACTTGTTGGCGACTGGTAAGGTACGACTCAAGCAGTTTAGACACATTTCCTCGAACACCATAGGCATTTAATTTTTTTATTAGTATGCTGTGATTGACGTAATCAAATGCCTTCGTCATATCCATGTAAATTTACTTAACTTATCTTGATGATGTTTTTGTAGATGCTAAGACCATATACCAACGACTTTTGGCCACACAACGAACATAACAAATAGTTTTTTGTAATAGCACCGAAGGTGTCTTCACTTCACTTTACTAACATTTTACTAACAATATTTTGTAAAAAAAAATATACGTATCGTCAAATATCTGTGTTATACCCTATTTTAAGATTTATCTAGAATTAAAAAGGTGCTGTCTATAGAGACATTTCTGATTTCTAACGAATGCCTTATATGGATTATTAATAATTTCTTGTCCTTTTAAATTATTGGGCATGCTATGGTTATTTAAATAATGAAATTCTCTATTAATGCACTATTTAGATTGTACGTAGATTTTATTGTCGAATGATTGTACATAGAAAACGAAAGTCCAATGTACCTAAATGGTGCCAAATTGCGATCCCTACGATTGGTGTAAATATTAACATCAAAATTTTGCTCAATTTCATTTGTAGCTACAATGTTTTGTATTTTCATCTAAGGTTGTATTTTATTATTATCTAGGCTAAGAATACTACTAACTTTGTACTGTTCTATGATCTAAGTAGTCTTCTATAAAATTAATTCTCCCAACTTTGTTACCATATCATTTTCAAAACCTATTTTTACAAATGTAAGACGTGCGTTTTAGTTTAACTAGTCATAGTTCTAGTGACCTTGAGACAAAGAACGTGACAAACAGACGTAGCTTTTGCTGAATAACTTAAGCAAAAATTTTAAGCACGTATTCTTGGCACGATGTGTTTTTGTTTCTTGAGTAGCTATTTAGTACTTTGTTGAAACTGGATTAATTGTATGTCTAAATTTTATCTTGATCCCATCTTAAATAGAGTAAGAACATACATATTTAGATTTATTGGTTTTCACAAGAAACTAAATAGCGGACTAAATCGCACGTTTACTCCTTAGTATATAATTAGTTTTTAAGACTCCATTAGAGATTACTAAAATAATTTTACTTGATATAAGACTTCTTATTATTCTTGTTTAAATTTTAACACTTATTGTAAATTACTTAGAGACTGTAAAAATAATATATAATAATTTGTAAATAACGTATTTCTTAAATCGTGTATATTGTAAATGTATTTTCTACGGTGGAGTGTATTGTGACTGCTTTTGCCTTTGTGGCTCATGTCGGGTTATTTATTATGGAAATTGCTAAGATGATGAGATTAAATAAATATTTTTGTAATTCAGTATTGTTTCAATCAGATTATTTATCCACCTAAAACTGTTAAGATTTCAATAAAGAGAACTCAGTAAATTTCATTGGAAATTACGGGGACAAATATAACAAATTAATTACACAAAACAAAATCAAATAAAAAATCTGTTATTATAGTAGGGTACTTCAATAAAGGTATTGTCCGTGTGGTGACGGATTAAGAATACAGAGTGGCACCACCCCTATTTAACGGGGTATCGTAAGAGCCAACTAAGGGAGCAAACTACGCAGGACAACTGCACTGCAAAACGAAGGAAAACTTGAAACAAAACCCAATACTCTTTAGCAACAAGCGTGGTATAGTAGGCCAAAACCTCCTTTCTAAGGAGAGGCCTATGTCCAGCAATGGACTGTTAAAGGCTGTTTGATGATGATGACTTTTATAAACTAAATAAATAGTTAAAAAGTCCACATAAAGCTGAGTATAACATAATATGATTTGGGAATAGTGAGGTATGACGTCAAACCTTTTGATTTTATAGTAATTTCTGCACAGTCCAGTACAGGATCAAATCAATATCAATGTTGTCAATTACAGAATTTTTGCCTATATCTTAAATGAAAGGACAAGACAAAATAAGCAAGCAACTTTTTAAAAAGGTATTTAATTTTTGTCAACCATCCTTTTGACATGTTACAAGGTACTCTTTAGTCTTGATATACCTCAAAACTCGTTGTCACTGAGTGCGGAAACTCTCCCTGGCGCTGCGCTTGGTCTAGCGCTCGTAAGTCTTAGTTCACTCTCTGATGAACTCCCAAGAGAGTCACCTGCATCGCCACCCTCCACACCTAATATAAGAATAAGATTAATTAATCGACAGTTTGATCATAACTTTCTAGGCAGAATTTAACGACATCAGTAGTTGTCCTGAAGGCATTATCATCTCCATAGTTCTTCTCCCTATTTACCAAAATTAGTTTAGGTGTTGACGCAATTTGTAACGATTTTTGTCTGATTTTTTTATGCATACCATCTAGCTGACCCCAACGCACCTTGGGGATGTTATCGTTTTCATTCAGAATAAAGGAAAAAGAGAAAGGAGTAAGGAAAAACTATAGGGCAAGGGAGCCGCAAGGATACTGCATGCCTCGTATGGAGGACCAAGACTGAGACTGGTAGAGCTAGAAGAAGCTGGAGAACTAGGGTAAAGGATCCTCGAGTCTTGGATGGATGGTTTCGTTGCGGGTTCCAAGACAGTTTAATTTCTTCCTGGCACTGCCCGAGTGTCATAACTCGTTGTGTTCGTGGGTCACTGATGTGGATCCTGGTGTACAGGAATGACAGTGGTGGGCGTGTGGGTGGGAATACTCCCAATAAAAAAAAATGTCTTGGATTCAGAAACGGACTAAGAGACAAACAGGAACATCAAAAAACCAATAATAACAGTATGCTATAAGTACAGCTATAAGTACCTTCAATAAGATCTGCGAACTCATCGTCACCAGACGTGGCGAGAGTACGCGTTGCAGGACGCGGTCGGGTCCGCGACCAACGGGAGGGTACATCGCCATCACCTTTGCAACCAAAAAGTAATTACCCTTTATCACAGTAACTTACGCAAACTTCATTTCAGTAAAATAATTAAAGGTACGGAATTGTCAAATGATTACCTTGTGTCTAGGGTACAAAAATGGTGGTCTGATGAAAAGAATCTTTCGCGTGTTACCTACACAATAGCTTGTGTAAACGACAGGCAAATGGTATTTAAATGTGTTTCTTAGTAAATTCATGATTGATATCACGAAGTCACATGTTTAAATGGATTTTAATTTTATTGAGTTGATCCCAAAGAGTATTTTTTTATCTTTGCAATTTCAATGTAACGTTGTAAGATTCTTTAATAGATCTTGGCGTTACGTAGAGATGTGGCTTCACTCTGCATTCTCTATCGCATATATCATGGTGAGTGCTCCGAGGAATTGTTCGGACTATTTGCCCCGCACAACCAACCTGTGGAATGGATTATCGTTTGCGGTATTTCCGGACCGATACGACCTTCAAACCTTCAAGAAAAGAGCATACCCTCCTTAACAAGCCGGCAACGCGTTTGTGACTCCTGAATTGCAGACGTTCATTGCCAGCGATGGTCACTTTCCATCAGGTGACCCGTGTGCTCGTCTGACCCTCTGACATAAAAAGCAGCATTTTTTTTGTCGTGCATTCTTCGTGACTTTAAAGAGGTCCAGTTTTTGTTTCTACTAAGACACCTTCAGTTTCGCAAACCCTTATGTAGATTTGTGTTTCGAAATATTGTTAACAAATAAAAGTATCGTTATTTATGCTGGATCACTGACCGTAGATTTGAGTGTCGGAGAAATCGGAGTCTGACTGGGAATCGTCCTCATCTCGTATCTCGTCGAGTGAATCTCGCGCCGCCATGCTGCCGAAAGCACGGCGCGCCTCCGCAGCTGGGCCGCCTGCCGTAATACAATGTAAGATTTGCTTTTAACTATGTAAATAAATGTTGAAATTTTATTTTAATTTGCTTCTAATTATCGTATCGAAATAAAACTTCGTATTGGGTGTCAAAAAATACTAAAATTTGCCAGTTTTGAGCGTACCCATGGTCCCAGAATGTGGATAGTGGATAGATTCCTTAGTGCTAATATATCCACTGGCAGTTAGCTCACATAATTTATTTTAACGATGAAGCCCACATTGGGCAGACCAAGAGAACAGTTTGGACTTAGTTTGTATGTGGAGCCTGTAGGTGAATAGTGGAATTCCTTTTTACTTTTAATTTGGTTCACTATAAATTACATATGTTGTGTTTGTAGTGTTTTTCCTAATTTTATAAGTAGTTATATGAATCTAAACATCTGTGTTCAAAAGTTAAGTTTGGATTTGGCAGAATCGTGTAACTATGACTCAGTTCTATATTTTTCGAAAAGAACGAAAGTGGATGAAAGACCTACAGCCGGTGTAAGTTCGAACAATTCAATCTTAATATCAAGGGGAGGCCATTTGCCTTGAATGGTTCACTTACAAGTGGAACGTTTAGCCCCTTAGTGCTAAATATCAGTAAATAATACCTATCTGAAGCATAATATTCGATTGGTAGATTTATCTCAAAGGAAATAATGATCTTGGCCTACCTGGCTGGATGATTTTTTTTTTTTTTTTTTTTAAAAAGACAACGCCCGCATTAGGAATAAATCCTGTGTCGCGGGGGACTTTACAAACATACATGAAACGGACATAAAGAACACCCAGACTCAGAACAACAATTTGTGGATCACACAAAGTGTCGTCCCATGTGGGGTTTGAACCCACAACACTCGGCGTAGTAGGAAGCGGCGTGGTGACCGCCTAAACCACTCCGCCATCCGTGCAGATTAAAAAATGGGTAACTAGGTATACCTGCGGTTTTGATCCTGAGCCGAGTTTTTGGTCTCGTGGCAGGTCTCGGTTGTTTTACCTCACTCAGATCCTTATCATCGTCACTCGAATCCAATTCCTCTACAAATTGAATACTCTAATTAGACAAGAATTAGGTAGGTACTTGGTAAAAATACTACGTCGGTACATGATAATTACCAGAGCCACTTAATTTTCCGAGTACATCTTCAGCCTCATACTTGTGAATAAGCTGCATGATTGCTGCTTGCTGCTCTTCAACTGCCTGTCATTAATATAATTATTTATTCTCATCAACAGCCTTTAATAGTCTACTGCTGGTCATAGGCCTCTCCTTCGAAAGGACCTGACGACATACCTCACTATTCCCAAATCATAATATGTTATATTCAGCTTTAAGTGGACTTTTAACTATTTATTTATTTTTATATAAGTCATCATCATTTAACTGTCCACTGCTGGACATAGGCTATTCCTTAGAAAGGAGGTTTTGGCCTACTATACCACGATGGCCAGACGGGTTGGTATAGGGTTTGTTTCAAGTTTTCCTTCTTTTACCAGTGCAGTTGTTCTGCGTAGTTTTGCTCCCTTAGTCGACTCTTACGACACTCACGGGATGATTAGGGGTGGTGACACACCGTAGTCTTAATCCGTCACCACACCGATACATCACGCTATGATATTTATAAATGTAAATGTTGTACACAAATCCGAACCAAAGTTTTAATGACAAAATCTTACACAATGTCGACAGCTTTTGTACGATATGCTATTTTAATAAAACAAAGCCTGTGTTTTGATTCATGTTATTTTCTGTCCACAAGTAAAACATGAATATTTATTTAAAAGACGACACGACACTCACGGGATGAATAGGGGTGGTGACACTCCGTATTCTTAATCCGTCACCACACGGACAATGCCTTGTTTTTTTTTTTGTAAACAACTCCCTCACTATTAATATATCCTATGTCACGGGGGACTTTACAAAATTCATAAAACAGACACAAAGAACCCTAAACTCTCAACAACAATTTGTGGATCACACAAAGTGTTGTCCCGTGTGGGGATTGCACCCACTACACTCAATGCTTCCTTCCTGAACTACCAGGTTCTTATATTCCTACCGAAAAACTTACAACACAATTTCAAATCCAGCAGAAGAATATGAAAACCCTTACTTCAGCCTGAGCACTCTCCAGTATGCTTAACTGCTGCTTAAGAGCTTCGACGCATCGGTATCTTAGCACGTATTGGTCCCACAGCTGTTCTATCTCAGTCTCTAGAGCTGTCAGCTCGCCTTGATAAGCTGGTCTGGAAAGACAGTCAGTCGTCATCATATAAGTAGTTCACTTTAACAAATAGCAATATATAGATATTCTCTGAAAAATAAAATAACATCGACTGCGATGTTTTTAACCGACTTTCAAATTAGATCTCAATTTTTTTCCAATTTCTTTTAAATTAAATTGGTTGTGACTTTCATAAAGAAGGCTCTGTAACACATCCCTGTATGTACGGGTACGTCCGTATGTCCGCATATTTCTTGAAATGAATTAGACCAATTTTCACATTCAAACTCAAACTCTGTTTATTTCATAAAATTTTCAAAATTGTTTGAAATCGTCTTTTATGTAGACTCTAAAGTCATAGATCAACACACACAAAAGCAACAATCTCTGTTTTGTCAAATAGTAAGCAAATAAATTTAACAAAAATCAAACCCATACAAAATCTATGATATGCCTGTGCCGATCTACAACCGCCCGTTTCCAAGGGGTTGAGCCTTATCAGAAAAAAGGGCAAACAAACACATGGCCACTTTTTTGTAATTCACAGATAGATACAATGGCACTTTTAAATATACCACAACATTGGTTTGATGTTTGCCAGTATGTCCGTTATTAAGGACTAAAAGGTAAAAAGGCAATTAATAGAAAACAAGATTAAGAAAAAAAATCGAATTCGAAAACACACTAGCCACACTACATTTTTACTAAAGAAAGAAATAGCCTGCGCTAATTAATCCCAAGGATTCTTGTCTTCTATGTAATTATTTATGTAACTTACTTGATTTTCTGCACAGTATGCAACCTTTTCTCAGCCCTGAGCAACTCGGCCCTCTTCCTCTCAAGTTTGGCATCTAAAGCGGCTTCACTCGCTGCCACATTGTCGATCTGCTCCCTCCCTGACACTACCTTCGTGGAGACGACGTCGAGGGCGCGACGTAAACTGGCTTCCATAGCCGACATGTCCAGAGGGCGAGCAAGGGCTTGTTCGCGATGTTCCTAGTGCCATGCAAAATTATAAAATATAATATTATACCCGGAGGCAAATTCTCGTAATAAAAGTTATATCTCAATTCAGTTCCGACTTTCGATCTCACAACTGTCGTTGAAGGTATTTTCATAGTAAAGTATTAAACATCCAACGCTGACTGTAATGTAATTATATTGTATTGTAACTGAAAATTAAATAGGTAATTTTCTAGTCTTAGTAATACTTTACTATTCTACTACGAAAATAACACATGGGCTGAAAAGGCCCGGGCCTAACAAAGAAAACAGTTTTTTTGGTTCAAAATTTGCTTTAATCATCAACGTAGGCTCCATCAAGAGCAACGCAATCATTGCAGCGCCGCTCTAACATTTCAATACCACTTTTGTAGAACGATTTATCTTTTGCCTCAAAATAGGCCTCAGTTTCAGCGATAACCTCTTCATTCGTGCGAAATTTCTTACCGGCGAGCATTTTTTTCAGGTCTGCGAACAGCCAATAGTCGCTGGGAGCCAAATCAGGCGAATACGGTGGATGTGGGAGCAATTCGAAGTTCAATTCATGAAATTTTGCCATTGTTTTGATTGACTTGTGACACGGTGCGTTGTCTTGATGAAACAAATTTTTTTTCTTTGCCCTATGCGGTCGTTTCTTTGCAATTTCGGCCTTCAAACGCTCCAATAACGCTATATAATATTCACTGTTAATGGTATTTGCTTTCTCAAGATAGTCGATGAATATTACACCACGCACATCCCAAAATACCGAGGCCATAACCTTTACAGCCGATTGTTGTGCTTTCGGACGCTTTGGACGAGGTTCACCAGTTGCTGTCCACTCAGATGACGATTGTTTTGGAGTGAAGTGGTGGATCCATGTTTCATCCATTGTCACATATCGACGCAAAAATTCCGGTTTGTTACGTTTAAACATGGCCAAACACTGCTTAGAATCATCAACACGTTCTCGTTTTTGGTCAACAGTAAGTAAACGCGGCACCTACTTTGAACAGAGCTTTCTCATAGTCAAATGCTCATGCAATATAAAGCCAACACGTTCTTTTGATATCTTTACGATGTCAGCTAACTCTCGCAACTTCACTTTTCGATCATTCAAAACGATTTTGTGGATTTTTTTTATGTTTTCTGGTGTTACTGCGTCATTTGGACATCCACTGCGTTCTGCATCATCGGTGTCTCTACGACCACGTTTGAAGTCAGCAAACCAACGTTTTACTGCTGTTTCTGATGGAGCGGAGTCCCCATAACACTTTTCAAGCCATTGCTTCGCTTGAACGGTATTTTTTCCCATCAAGAAGCAGTGTATAATTAAAACACGAAATTGTTTTTGATCTATTGTTTTGAAAATAACAAAAGTAGCGTCACTCTTAGCACAATAACTCACAAACTAATGAATAAAATATCATGCAATTCTAACAGCTGTCTTTTGAAGGTTAGTATTAACTGAAAAAGAGGTGACTGCAATAAAACTAGCGCCATTTATGTGTTAGGCCCGGGACTTTTCAGCCCATGTAATACATTTTAGGACAGCTGTGAGATCGAAAGTTGTTCGGAACTGAATTGAGACCGAACTTTTATTACGAGAATTGGCCTTCTGATCCCATGTAGCAGCTACACAGAACTATAATGTTGCTCAAAACATATTTAAGTTATATTGCCGCTTACAACAAAAACAAGAGAGACAACATTTAAACAATGAGCCATGTTACTTTTGGGACAATCTATTTATTTTATCGTATGTAAAACGCATCATCAGCAGTAGTTCATCGAATCATAGATGAAGAGGTAAAAACATACCTTATTCTCTGGTTCCTTTGCCAGCAGGTCGTATAGGAAAGCGCCTTGCCCAGTGATGTCAGTTGCCAGAGCCCTCGCTTGTTTTATTTCACCCAACTGTTACGAAAACGAGAAGTTTAGTAAAAAAGTTCGCCACTTCCCAAAAGCGTTTGAAGTTCGAACGCTCTTGGGAAGGTCGTAAAGTCGGACGGACATTCAGGACCCAATTTTCAAATTGAACGTCCTTGTGCTGTATTCTATCTGTGGTAAGTAGATAATTGTATAACGTAACCTTTTTTTTGTCTGCAACTCAAAAGTCACAAGTGCGTTGCTGCCCTTGGAGTTCCTCCCGCTCGAGTCAGCGGGAGGAGGGATTTAGACTCCGGTAACCTCAATCACTCAGTGAAAGGCAATGAAAGAATTGCTTAACACCGGTTTTCTGTGAGGCCGTGGTATCACTCTGGTCGAGCCGGCCCATTCGTGCCGAAGCATGGTTCTCCCACGGTAAAAGACACCCTGCCTGGTGGACCGAGGTCTAATGATTTATATTGGGCAGGTATAAATGTTTATATTGTTTAGGATATTCGTAAATGTGTAGTAAACTGTGAGAAAACTTAAATAGCGCAATGCAGCATCATTAGCTACTATTTAGTTTGAGTTTTTTTCGTTAAATGGCAGAAACTTACAAGAACTTTTATGAATGTTTAAGATGTTTAATCTCATACCCGGTTTGTGAAATCGTAGCTTATATCAGTGTCAGGGTGCTGGTCATCATTGACGGGTGCCTCCAGAGCAGAACGCAGTAATGTTGCCACTTTCATCAGCTCACGCACTGCCCAGCCGTCTGCGCCATAAATCTTCTTACCGTTAAGCTTTATATTAGCTCGTGAGTGCTGTGTATAAATGCATGTTAGAGGTAAGAAAGAATAATATTATGTTAACAAATCCGTTATCTCTCTATTATCCTTATTAACTTGTAAAATACCATCTGCAGTACCAAATACTTGAAGGTCACCATAGAAATAGATAACAGTGGATAACCTTAGGGCTGATATGGGATTTGCCTAATATACAAAAGGCCAAAAATAAATCTAAGTGGCGTGCAATGGGAGAGGCCTATGTCCAGCAGTGGACTGCAATAGGCTGATGATGTATGATGATGATGTACAAAAAGGAAGCCAGTTCTCAATTCGATTGTTTTTGTTCATTTCATTCCATCTAAGAGAGCCAACAAAACAGGAGATATGAAGAAATTTATAGTACAAAAACCAAAATTAACTTACAACACTGGAAAAAACACTCAAGAACAAATACAAAACAAACAAGTAGACTCCGAATAGCAGTTATTAACGCGCCCCCCTCGAGATCTCCCAGTACGGCTAGTCACCGCGGGAGAGTCAGACTACAACCCTCCAAGGCATCAACTAAATCAACAACAGAAAAATAAGTGTGATTCAAATGTACGCTCACCCGTATCAAAGAAAAACAATCTATATATTTGTACTTTCAACGCAAAATCACTGTCATCATCAGAAAAACTTATAGAGCTAAAAGCAGCCTTACAAAACATTAATCACGACTTAGTCGGTTTGAGTGAAGTCCGTCGACTAGGTGAAGATATCATTGAAGATGAGGATTACATAATGTACTACCTGGGCAAGACCAAAGGTCTTTACGGAGTGGGCTTCCTGGTCAAGAAAAAACATAAGGAAAAAATCAAAACATTCATAGGTATATCAGAGAGAGTCTGCGTATTAGAAATAGAACTTGAAAACTTATTTTTTGCAATAATACAGGCTTATGCGCCTACAGAAAAATCACCTCAAGAAGACATAGACAATTTCTATGAAGATCTAGCGAAAGCTCACGATTCTATTTCTACAAACTATATAATCTCAATGGGAGATTTCAACGCACAGATTGGAATCCCCAAAAACCATGAGCACTCTGTTACCGGCGCATATGGTTATGGGAAGAGAAGCATTCGTGGAGAAAGACTTATTCAGTACGCATACGAATACAACCTTATAATTATTAATACTATGTTCAAGCTAAAAAATGCCAACAGATGGACATGGGTTTCTCCAGATAAAAATACTAGAAACGAAATTGATTATATCATGTCCACAAAACCTAAATTATTTTCTAAATACGAAGTATTGTCATCGTTCAGTTTCGGATCTGACCACAGACTGCTAAGAGCTACCATCAACCTGAAATCTTCAAGAAAAAGTAGACGTAACTTTTCAAAAGCAACAACAATGCTGAGATCGACGAAGGAACAAGACACATACCTTAAAAACCTAGAGCGTTATATACCAGATCTCATAAATTCAAGCGATGACTACAAATCCGACGAATACTGCCAAAAAATCATGGACTCAATTTTAACAAGTTTATCAAGCTCGAAAACAAAAGATAAGTGTAAAATCTTGTCAGTAGAGGCACTAAGGCTTATGAAAGAAAGAACCAAGTTGCAAAACAAGCCCAAACTAAATAAGTCCGATAAGGAGAATCTGAAAAAACTTTACAAACTAACAAATAAAGAAATAAAAAGATGCTACGACACTCACAGAATAAACACCATACAAAGACACCTTGAAAAATCTAGGTCCGCCAAAAAAGCATACAAGGAACTAAATAGATCAAAGAAATGGATTCCATCACTTCGACCCGGCTCCAACAATTGTAAGTCCCGAAAAGAGATTATAGACATAGCCACAAACTACTATGCACGGCTCTATAGCAAGCCGGATGCAAGAACACCACTAAACCTTAACACCGAAAACAGCAAGTTCACCCCGGTGCAAGAGTTCACAGAACCAGAAATCCTAAGGCAAATTATCAAGCTGAAGTCAGAAAAATGCCCGGGACCTGACGGACTTACAAACGAATGTATCAAACTGGCTAAGACTCTCCTTCTGTCACCTATCACATTACTATGGAACAAAATATTAAACGAGGAGGTCGTGCCAAGTCTGTGGACGGAATCTGAAATAATCCTACTCTATAAAAAAGGCGACCCAGCAGACATAGGAAACTATCGTCCCATAAGCCTCATGTCGTGTCTCTATAAATTATTTGCCGCCAGTATACTTGAAAGAATTTCACCAGATATTGATCTGCACCAACCGATCGAACAAGCTGGATTCAGAGGCGGTTTCAGCACAGTGGATCATATTCAGGTAGTCGACCAAGTTATAGAAAAATTCTTGGAATTTCGTAGACCATTATATGTAGCTTTTATTGACTACAAAAAAGCCTTTGACAGTATATCACATGAAAGTATTTGGGAAGCATTAAAAGATCAAGATATAAATCAAAAATATATAAACATCTTAAGAAATATTTATTACAATAGCTCAAGTAGAGTCAAGTTAGATAGAACAGGCACAAAAATCAAAATTGAGAAAGGAGTGAGACAAGGTGACCCAATTTCACCAAAACTGTTCATAGCGGTCTTGCAACATATAATGGCAGCTTTACCGTGGTCTAAACAAGGCATCAACGTAGACGGACAGTTTCTAAGCCACTTGAGATTCGCCGACGATATCATCCTTTTCGCAACTCATCCACAACAACTAAACATCATGATAAACGATTTACACGAAGCCAGTATCAATGTCGGTCTAGAAATGAACCTAGACAAAACGAAAGTTATGTCTAATCACATTATAACACCCATCTTGGTAAATAATATCCCTCATGAATATGTAAGTAACTATATCTATCTAGGAAAACAAATCTCATTCAGCAAAGAAAGAAATACTAAAGAAGTGGACAGAAGAATAGCGATCACCTGGAAAAAATACTGGAGTCACAAAGAAATTTTCAAATCGCAGCTGCCATTACCAACAAAAAAAATAGTCATGGATTCTGAAATACTGCCATGTCTAACATATGGCTGCCAAACTTGGATTCTTGATCGCAAAACCAGAAATAAAATCCGGACGACTCAAACAAGAATGGAGAGAAGTTACCTAGGTATAAAGTTGAGAGATAAAATCAGGAACACAGAAATACGCAAGAGGACGAAAATAACTGACGCTCTCTCCTTTTCGCTAGTCAGGAAATGGAAGTGGGCAGGGCACGTGGCCAGGTACACAGACGGCAGATGGACAAAGAGAGTGACGAAATGGTCTGGGCCAAGAGGCACTAGAAATAGAGGCAGACCTAGCGCGAGATGGGTGGACGAAGTCGTGGAGACGGCGGGTCGTGATTGGTTCACAGTAGCTCACAACAAAGAAAAATGGCATGCCTTGGAGGTGGCTTTTACCCACAGGGGGTCCGCACAAATCTCTTAAATAAATATTTATACTTTTCAAACTTTTTTACCTTGTAATTTGTACGGAATCAAATAAAGCTTTTTATTATTATTATTATTATAAGAGAGCCATTCATTTTAAGAGGGTATACTTTTAGTTTGGTTCCATTCCACCAAAATTCCACCCCTAAATATGGAAAATTAAAATGTGAAGAATTCAGTTTATCACAAATTATTATGATTTTTTAAGTAAATTATTTTCTTAAATACAACATCTAGTTTCGTGATAATTTACTTAGATTTTAGAGGGTTCGGAATTTTCAGCAGTTCGTAACTCAAACTGGATTCGCTGGAAGTAACTGTGTTAAACCAAAACTTGTGTATTGACTGGTTTTGACTGTTAAAGAGCTCGGACAGTTCAACAGCCAGTTCGAGCTGTAGATCTGCAATTGTGTTTTTGTTTGTGCTTACTCTCCCTTAATAAAAATAATAACCTCACACATCTCAAACTAAGCAGAGCCTGTACAATGGTGGCCAGACTACTGATAAACATGTTTTAATATTTCTAAATACATACACATTATAGATAAATTACACCCAGATAGAGAACAAATATATAATCAACAACAACACAACAACAAACAAATATTTGTCCTGAGTGAGAATCGAACCCACGACCTAGGGCTAAGCAATCAGGGTCACTTACCTATACTACTAGACCAATAGTCCCGTAAATTTCTAATCTATCCGTATAAGCCGTGTCACTGACACTGGCTTGACCATCATCATAGATTTTAACTTTGATTACACAAAAATTTAGTCGCCAATTAGTCGAAATTTGTCGCCAAATATCAGAATTTGTCGGTCACTAGTTCAAAAGTTATAAACGTTTATACGTGGCCCTGCTGGGGTCAGTCTCCCCAGCTTGGCCACGCTTGTATCTTAAAAACTAGAGAACCTAACTATGGCACCAAGAGAAGATCTGTTTTCTCCTAGATTTAGTCGCTAATTAGTTGATACATTATTCTATCAGTATTCTATCAGTCAATCTAGCTTTCATAGTATAAGCTCTGCTTAGTTTGAAACAAGATCGCGTTGTGTGTAACATGTCTAAAAATATTATTATTATTATTAATGTGGAGGTGATTCATGACTTCAGCCTTCTTCTTCAAGAATATGGGGGCCAAATGCGTTTCTTAGTACTTGTATACTCGTATCCACTTGAAAAAAACAATTAAATAGTTACGTACGAACAGCGCAATGGCATGCGTCACTAGTGCCACCCTTTGTTCTACGGAATCCTTCCCTGCTCCTTTGCCAGCTAATTCTGCATCGGGCTCTACTCTGGCTGCCAGCCACCGAAGGCACTCTTCCATCAAGTCCCAGTTAGGGATCCTAAAACTCTCTAGAGATATCGGCTTCGGGAACCCGAGGACTCGCATCGCTTCGCTGAAATCTAAATTTTGAAACAAATATGTAATAAAGAGACCTAATAATAAACATCAAAAAGCCAGAATCGAATGCAGCCCCAGTACCAAGTAGCGTAGCAGAATTCTGTTTTAATTGGAATCACTTGATTAGGAATGAAGCATTAGTATGGTAGGATGTCGTGGGAGAGAGCAAGCCAACAGACTGGCAAATTCAAGGCATTACTCTTGTTATAAATCTCGTGTCCTGGGGGACTATATACATACATAAAACGGATACAAAGACAACACTCAGCGCAATAGGAAGCGGCGAGGTGACCGCTTAAACAAGTACGCCATCCGTGCAGTCCATTTTGCACTGGTCGAGTTCCATTGGTCACAGGCTGACTCATCAGGCTAGGGTCGTCCATTAATTACGTGAGGCGTTCAGGGGGTGGGGGGGGGGGGGGTCTAACCCAATCTCATCTAATCTTACTTTGAGGAGACGGGGAGTCTCGGCAAATATCACGTAATTTAGTATCCTCAAGAAACAAGAGTAAAATTGCGAGAAAACTGGGTTAAATTAAGTAAAACATGTTCCTCTACGGCAATAGGGCTAGATCTTATACAATAATACTTATTAGCCTATTTTCGAAGCAAATCGGGAAGCGGGTTGAATCAAATCTCACAACATCTCACCCGCGGGGAAGGGGTCAGAAAATCGCCGAAATCCCCTCACATAATTAATGGACCTATAATCATGACCAATGAGCAGGCATTACCTACAGTGAGCGTTCTAATTCCCATAAATATAATTTTATAGGCTTTTTTGTTTACCTATTACTAGTATAATATTCATCCCGTGGGCGTCGTAAGAGCCGACTAAGGGAGAAAATTACGCAGAACAACAGCACTGCAGAGAGAAGGAAAACTTGACACAAACCCTATACCAACCCGTCTGGCCAGCGTGGTATAGTAGGCCAAAACCTCCTTTCTAAGGAGAGGCCTATGTCCAGCAGTGGACTATTAAAGGCTGTTGATGATGATGTGAGTATAAAAGAAAAAATACTTACTTCTTAAATCGCGATAAGACATAATAAATCCGTGATATTTATCTTAGTTTATAACACAAAGCCGTCAATAGTAGCGAAGTGACAGTTTGTGGGATGTTTTGTTTACACAATACGTTGTCATGACAACGCGTATCAATACTAGTTGCCATATTAATTAAAACTACGAAACAAACAAACGAAGCAAAACTACGCAAGAGAACAGCACTGCATAGAGAAGGAAAACTTGACACAAACCCTATACCAACCCGTCTGGCCAGCGTGGTATAGTATGCCACAACCTCCTTTCTAAGGAGAGGGCTATGTCCAGAAGTGGACCCTTCTTAAAGGCAGACTTAGTTTCCAATTGGATTCCAATTTCGACCCTGTCTTTTTGTTCAGTTTATGTACCTATGTTTTTTTAGTTGACGATAGATGACAGTCTTGGTTTGGAGTAGGGGGCAAGGGGGCGATACTATCTTAACCACCATTTAATTATATATCTACTAAGTTCCTTCCAAACAAATTTAAACTCTCAATCAATTAAATAATTATTTATTAGCATATTTTTGATTACAATGAAAGATTAATAAATTCTAAGTATTTTATAGCATTTAACTTAGTAAGTCGTGTCAGCATATGATGAATCATTAAGAACAAACTTCTTGACACTAACAAAACATTTTTAATAATATAATAACTTCACACATCTCACACACGGCGGTCTGATCCCAAACTAGGCAGAGCCTGTGCTATGGTAACCAGACTGCTGATAAACATACTTATATATTTTTAAATACACACATAATATAGATAAATTACACCCAGGCACAGAACTAATGATCCTGATCGTCTTAGGTGGTAATCGAACCCACAACCTCTGGTTTAGCATTTAGGGTTACTAACCACTAGACCAATAGGCTCGTCCAATATAATATTTTCAGACATCTAATACACAACGCCATCTAATTTCAAACTAAGCAGAGCTTGTACTATGAAAGCTAGATTGACTGATAGAATACTTATAAACTTTTTTTATATGTTATCTATATCTATCCCACAATTTTTAGGTTGGTTGAGAGGGGTTGGGTAACTTTATTGTACGCCGTGGTATAACTCCGGTAGAGGCCGCCCATTTCTGCACAAGCATAACTCTCCCACAGAGAACATTCTTCATAAGACTAATGTAACATAATATTCATCCACTATTATTTAAAACTATTTTATAAGTAGACTATAATTTACTTTGTAATAGCATCCTTGCTATTACCAAATTGGGCATACGAAACATTCATACAAATCGTCTTTGTATGAATGCAGATTGACTGTTTATAGATATATCTGAAAAAAAACCCTGTTATTTTATAATCTGCAAACAATATTTTTGCACAATATTGCGGTCATAATTTCAGCAGGCGCTGTTAAATTTTATAGTGATACACGAGATCATAACATGAGAATAACAGCAAAATACGTTTTATTATTGCTATCAACTTTTATTTATTTAGTAGCAAAAATAAAACGTATAAAAAATTCTTTTTTAAATTAATTTTATTATTACTATCGAACGTATCGAAGGTTGTTCCAACCGTTGCAATGAATTGAATGTTTGTAAAATATGTTGTTTGAATTACCGATTTAAGTCGACAAAGATTTCAATTTCAGTACTAATTTATCGCAAAATCAATTGTGAAAAACTAATACTAGTAATGGAAAATTCAAATTTTGCTAAATGCCTCTGAATGCTTATTTATAAATAAAATAAATCTTTTTCGCGTCAGTACCGTGGTGAATTTTTTTCTGTCTGTTTGTTTTTTTTTTTGGTTAATCTCAAGAACGGTTGGACTTGATTCCACAGGACTATCACTGACAGATAGCTGATGTCATAAGAGTTCATTTCGAAAAAAAAATAGCATTCCATAGATTAATATGCCAGTTAGCTAAAAAAATTATAAAAAATAGAAAATAAAAACCAAAATGAAGTAAATAAACTAATATAATATAAATTACACAACTATTAACAGTCAACCTCAGCGGCTGAGACAATTTGAGGAAACAGCATCCGTGGACCTCTTTTGTACTACATTTTTATGTTTAAGTTTTCATTTCTTTCTTAACAATCACAAATTTATTTTTATAAAAAAAGTTATTTTCATAACTCAATACAAATAAACTAGTAACTCAATTCATTATTAATAGTTACTCTATAGTTCAGTTTGTCAGTTAGATTTGCCGACAAAAACCAGTTTGAATTCTTTTTCTTCACTTACTTTGCGTAATTCATCCTTATAAGCGATATCCATCCAAATATCACTAATTATTTAGTTAAAAAGAGATCCAATAAATACATAAACATGATGTTTCCTCAAATTTTAGTTAAAAACCTCAGCCGTTACATGTATGCCCAATTTAATAGAAAAATCATAAGTCTATGTCTCTGGGCGGCCGAGCCATCTCGCGCTTAAGAGACTCTGCGCGCTTCACAGCCAAGCGCATGCGAGCTGCCTTCAGGTGCCTGTAAAAGGAAAACCAGATATGTATTAATATTATAATTGTAGGTACTTAGAGTGCTCACAGTATAAATATAATATTCCATATCTACAACATAGTTACATTAATATGAAATGATATTTATTAACTTTTATAATAGGATTTACCCATGTGTAGTCTGTGGATGTCTGACTCCGTAACAATGGGAACTTGCACTCCTTGAAATGGTGCATTCGCTGGGTTTCAAAATAGTCTGACTTATATATATCTTTAATAGAGTGGGAGAGCCATTCTCCGGCAAACAGCACAACTCAACTTTATGTGAGGCAATTTTTGCATTACTTTCGAGTGAGCTTACCAGAGCCCAACCTCACCCTATCCTACCATTGATTCTGGGAGGGGGAGGAAGCCTAAAGGGTCGGTAACGCACAGTTTTTTTTTGGGTTGTAAGTGTCCATAGGAGGTGGTAGTCACTTCCCATCAGGTGACACGTCTGCTCCTTTGCCTTCCCCCACACCACACCTTTGCCTTACACCATTCCTATATCTGATCTTATATGTTCAAACATGATTCTCCCATGGCTAAATTGCATAAATATGTCTTATGTCATTATCAGCAGCCTTTAATAGCGGACATAGGCCTCTCCTTAGACAGGAGGTTTTGGCCTACTACACTATACTAGCCAGGTAGGTTGGTGTAGGGTTTATAACAATGCCCAATTTGGGTGGACCCAGCGTCGCGACGAGACGGCTGTACACGGGGGTTGTCCGGTCAATGGCACTATACGGTGCACCGGTGTGGGCGGCGGCTCTGACCGCCCAGAATAGGGCACGCCTCTGACGCCCTCAGAGGGTATGGCGGTCAGAGCCATACGCGGTTACCGCACCGTGTCGACGGAGGTGGCGTGCGTGTTGGCCGGAACTCCCCCGTGGGATTTGGAGGCGGAAGTGCTCGCCGAAGTTTATCGGCGAGTGGCTGACTCCCGGGCGGAGAGCGGATTTCGCCCTCCGCCCGAGGATGTGCGCGAGTGGCGCGAAGCCGCTCGCCGAGCCACGATGGCTCGTATGTCGTTCCGGCTGGAGACTCCACGCGCTGGCTTCGCCGCCGTGGAGGCTCTCCAGCCGGTCATCGCCGAGTGGGCAGGGCGGCAGCACGGGACCCTTTCCTTCCGGCTGACGCAGGTGCTTTCCGGGCACGGTTGCTTCGGGGGCAGTCGCTAGGAGGGAACTGAGTCCCGCCTGCCACCACTGCGACTGCAGTGAGGACTCGGTCCAGCACACGCTGGCGGTCTGCCCCGCATGGGCGGCGCAGCGCCGGGCCCTCACTGCAGTCATCGGAGTGGATCTCTCGCTACCGGCCGTAGTACGCTCCATGGCCGGTAGCGACAGTTGTTTTACCGCGGTCGCAACCTTCTGCGAGGAAGTAATCTCGCAGAAGGAGGCGGCGGAGAAGGCCCGGGAGGACGACCTCCACTCGGACCCGATCCGCCGCCGGCGAACCGGGCGGCGGAGGCGCGCCTATCACCGCCTCATACCGCCCTGAGTGTGGCCGCGGGTGGACGGGGTGGGTTTCCCCTCCACCCGCATTAGTTTGGCCAGCCGCGAAGGGGCGGCGTCCGCGTGTGCCGGACGTCGCCTAAAGAGAGGAAAATTTTGAGACGGAGCCCGCACCAGGAGCGGGCTGGCGCTAGGAGGGGTCCGGATGTCTTAATAACAGCTGTTCCCGGATTCCTCCTGTTACAGGCGCAGACTGGCACACCGTGTGGTTTTAGTCGGTCCGAGTCCGACACACCACCCCGCAGCAAACCCCGGTGGGGTGACGGTCCGAGGGGATTTCCAAATTTAAAAAAAAAAAAGGGTTTATAACAAGTTTTCCTTCTCTTTGCAGTGCTGTTGTCCTGCATTGTTTGCTCCCTTAGTCGGCTCTTACGACACCCACGGATGAGTAGGGGTGGTGACACTTAGTATTCTTAATCTGTCATTACACTGATGACTTATGTGGTGATGCCCTATATCACTATTGATACAAGTATGTCTATTATACCTTTGTCTAATTCGTTCAACAGTTTCCGGAGCAGGTTCTCTCTTAGTGACACAAGCATCTCTGATCATGTTTCGTAGTTTCTGCATACAGTCAGCCAGGTTCATGGTCTGTGAACGTGTGGTGTCCGATCTGATGATAAGATATCCATCTTTTGAAAGTCTGTTCCTATGCTGTAAACAAAATATTCTAATTATAAAATGACATCATGGTATAGTAGGCCAAAACCTCCTTTCTAAGGAATGGTTAATGTCCAGCAGTGGACTATTAAAGGTTGTTGATATAATTCTATATTATAGGTCTTTACCTATGAAATTGCCGTTTTGTATGCAATAAGTCAAGTGCTGGTGAGTATGGCGGATGAGGGAGAGCTTCCAACCCCAGCTCTTGCAGCTTGGAGACTGTCTGTTGCGCAGTATGGGGTCGCGCGTTGTCGTGAAGGAGCAGTGGGGACGACCGATTGACCAAAGCTGGTTGCAGATGTGACCACCAGACCTTGCACCTACCGACTATTACTTTTTCCAAAATTTAGACAACTTATTAGTGGGTAAAAAATTCAATCCCCGAGAGGCAGTACAAAATGCCTTTGAAGAGTTTTTTGCCTCCCGTCCAGCTGATTTTTACAAGAAGGGCATCAATAAACTGCCAATGCGTTGGCAAAGATGCGTCGATTGCATGGGTGATTACTTCGAATAACAGAAATAAAAAAGTTTGAAAAAATAAGTACTTTCACTTATTGCATTCAAAACGGCAATTTCATAGGTAAAGACCTAATACAAACACATTAAAGATACATACCTTCATCTAGAAAACTGTTCTTTTAGCTAAAACTTGATAAATTAATAATGATGACACTTATAACATAACTTAAAATTGTATTTTCAAACAGAACACTTACAATTTCTATCAACTTGGCTTTAACTTCAGGTTGTAACCAGTCCGCCTCACTTGGTTTGAATCTCAGATCCACTTTGGTGTGCACCTGCAAGTATACATTGTTTTTAAAGAGAAATAAACTTGAAATAACCCTATACCAACCCGTCTGGCCAGCGTGGTATAGTAGGCCAAATCTCCTTTCTAAGGAGAGGCCTTTGTCCAGCATTGGACTATTAAAGGCTGTTGATGATGATACATTGTTTTTGATAACTAATATATCTTACAGCTTCTGACGACGATGAATGGTATGTGACTAATAATGATCACTACTAGAGAAGTAGGAAGGTAGTTAAAGACCAGTGCTAGTACCAATATTGTCAGTATCATATAAATTTACACCCTCCTCACCAGATTTCTACACCCCCAAAGGTTGGCTGGTAGAGAATGCCTTGGGCATTAAGTCCGCAGTTGTACATAAGTGCATAAAGTTGTAAATAATAAATAATACACCCTAAGGGGTAGAATTTAAAAATAACTATTCTTAGTGTACACCTACATCACCTAAGGAACTTTGTGCAAAATTTCGTGCTGCTATACCCAGCGGCTTCAGCAATATGTTGATTGATCAGTCACTGAATCAGTCTCTTAGTTTCTTCTTTTATACATATATAGATATAAAATTAAATATTCATTTACTATTCTCTATGCACAATAACACAAAAAAAATATCACAGTTTAATTTAAGATCACTCTAAATTTAAAAAAATTTAAAAGCAACTACTTAAAGTGAATTTTACTTACTTTATTAACGTTTTGTCCACCAGGACCTGAACTAGCACTGTACGTTATTTCCAATTTGTTTACTGGTATATATCCATTGAACTTTTCGTTTGTTTCTAAAGCCTGCAACGGTATTTTTTTAATTAAAAAAAATTACAAAATTAATAACACACCTCATACAAACTTTTTACTTACAAGAGCAGGTGTTGAAAGTTTTAAAGAACTGTTAGGATACAACGTTTCTAGTGCTATAGCACTTTTATACGACATAGGGCGATTCATTAAAGTCATATAAGGTGCTGTCTGCACCATTTTGCGAATACCAAGTCGCAAAGATGCGAAAGCCATGATTACTGTTGCTTATAATAGTAGAGAAATAGTTGTTATTTTATGTTATTATTAGTTAGTAACATTAGATATTTGCTTCAATGACCGTAAGTTTTTTTATAACCTCAAATAACTACATGTCAAATTAATATTCTTATTTGACAGATGAAACAGGGCTGCCAGTAATATGAAACTAGTTCTTGTTCTTAGTGTTCTTACTAGAAGATTTGTTTTATTCCACTATGTTTACCTGGGTGATTCTGTATGGCAACATGTACGCATGCTACCTTACCTTAATAAGATGTGTGACTTTTAAAATAATTTCTGAAAAATGTATATAAGGTAGTCTTAAACTAAGAAAATTTATTATTTATAATATCAATTATCTAACATATTATACCTATTAACGAATAAAGGTTTCGGAAATATTTTTAGATTATTATAACTCTACCCAAAGCCAATCCCTAATAATAAACAATATTATTACATTTAATTTTACTTCAATCCTTGATCGCCAATAAAAATTTAGTTTCAAGTAACAGTACCTAAGTATACATTCAAAAGTACTTAAACATCGTTCATAATCACTTAAGCTAAAAATTTATTACTTATTAAAAGATCTCACAACAGCTATTACCTGGTACGTGAAAATTATGCTGCATACATTATTAAAATCTCTTGTACATTTCTCTAAATGCAAATTGCTGTAAAATGATATAAAAGTACCGCATAATTATGCGTCATGCAAACAAAACGGACTTAGAAAGTTTGAAAATAAAAACCCTAGAATGTAAAATACATCTATATGAACTTCCTTAATAGTTTTTATTTTTACAATGAGCTAACAAAATTGCTAGTTTTAATTCTCGGTCAGAAAAACATGAGGCATAAAACGCGCGCGCACTGTTACGCTCCAGATAATTTAATTAGGATCCCGTTCCGCTTTGCGGCTCCCTCTAACGTTTCTACAAGAATATTTAGATAAATAACAATATTTTCTCCAATTTTGACACTACCGTTCTTAACATAATCAGATACTATAGAAAGTCGGGAAAACCACTTAAATCTAATTATAATCACTACATTATAGCATGTAAAGTGTTAAATTTTATTACAATTTCTCGTAGGAGTGCCAAAAAAGATTGCTGTCACCCGCTGCCTACTACTAAGCTGAGTGTTGTGGGTCCGATGATCCGATCCCCATATGGGACGACACTTTGTGTGTTCCACAAATTGTTGTTCTGAGTCTGGGTGTTGTTTGTGTCCGTTTCATGTATGTTTGTAAAGTCCCCGAGACACAGGAAATTTTCCTCATGCGGGAGTTGTCTTACAAAAAAAAGAAAAAAAAGAAACAGAACTACTCCAGCCAGATATGACTCCATTGCTGTGCTTTTTTTTATGGAATAGAGGGCAAACGAGCAGACGGGTCACCTAATGGAAAGCGACTACCGCCGCCCATGAACGCCTACAACTCCGGAGTCCTTATGGTAGGAGTATGCTCTTTTCTTGAAGGTCGTATCGGTCCGTAAATACCGCAGCCGATAACTTTTCCACAGGTTAGGCAAGTCAAAAAGTGTCTCGAAAAGCGCACAGTGGTGGAGCGCCAATTATCCAAGTGGTGGGGATGAAAATTTGGCCGTGTGAAACGATGGCAGAAGGTATTGTTCCGAATAATTCCTCGAAGCACTCTCCATGATATATACGATAGAGAATGCAGAGCGAAGATACATCTCTACGTAACGCCAAGGGATCGAGTCGGTCGCAAATCTTTTGTCTATCAACGATTCGAGTCGCTCTTATGTACTTATACTTATGTATGTCACGATCATCAATTCTAAACAGAATATTTACAGAAACCCTTCCCTTGTCCCGTGGGTTGACGTCGGGGTCTGGAGATAATATTAATAAGATGTTAGAAGACAGTACTGTGGTAACCGACGACGATAATAATTCGAAGACGACCTTTGAAGTTTAGCACAACGTGTGACCAAATCGATAAAAACAATTCTGATTAGAACAATTGACTAAAATACTACGAAAATACCTTTTATGACAGTCGCGAGATTCAGAGTTGATCGGAACTGAATTGTGACCGAACTTTTATTACGAGAATAAGCCTTCAGCAATGAGGCTAAGTAGACCGGTATTTATACACATATAATTATGTTATAGAGTTCTAAAATAGGTACTCAATCGTGTCCAACAACTGTATCAGCAGCACATTATGTTAAGAACGTCTAGCGACATCTAGGACCTTGGGAAGGAACTGAGGGGATTGAAGATTGAACAGGAAGTAACGCTCTTTTGATTGTATTTGGTTCGTTACTTTTTGAAATGTCAACGATCACTTATATATATAGATCACACTTGTAACGAGGACACTTACCATATGAATTTTGTCTGTACTACTTACCTTAAATATACGCATTCATATAATATATAAAAAATAAAGGAATTCATTGAAGAAAGCCCTACCGACCTAAATATTCACCAGAAGAACATACACAACCTGACACATTATGTATTCTAAGCAATAAACCACTAATTAATTATCTATGGACGCCTCTAAGAATTTTTTAAGTACTTTAGAAGTGTTGTCTACAATATTAATTATTTGTTGAAAAATTATATCACGAAATCTGTCACCAGAAATTCTTTATAACACTTTGTATCTTTCATTGCGAATAAATGATTTACGAGTATAATGGCCGAACGTCTTTAACTATAGTCGTGTGTGTATAGTAATATTGCTGATTAAAATTATGTAGGTACTCGCTTTTGAATAGTTGTGAAAATGGAAACGAATAAGGGAAAAGTAAAAAAAAATATTAAAAAGGATCTATTAGTGCAGGGATTATTTATTCTGACTTTCTGAACCATAAATTCGTGAGTACGATATAGGTACGGCCAGAATTAAAAATTATTATGATGAACACTATTTCTACATTTGTACTGTCTCAGCGTAACTCATCGTTAAAATTTAATTATTGAGTAATATTATGTTATTAGTAATACTAAATATATTATATGTTTGACACATGTTTGGATGTTCATATGTATACGTGTGCTGACGGATTAAGAATACAGAGTGTCACCACCCCTATTCCCGTGGGTGTCGTAAGAGCCGACTAAGGGAAAAAACTACGCAGAACAACTGCACTGCAGAGAGAAGGAAAACTTGACACAAACCCTATACCAACCCGTTTGGTGCGTGGTATAGTAGGCCAAAACCTCCTTTCTAAGGAGAGGCTTGTGTCCAGCAGTGGGGTATGAAGAGCTGTTGATGTGAGTGATATATTTGTGTGTTTATTAGTTTGGTTTACCTAATATGGGATCTTTCTGATAAAGTTGCTGTTGTTAGACATATTATTATTGTCATACTCCGTATTTTGAACTTTTTGAATATCATGTGTATACAATAGTATATTAGTAAATAAATAGATTTATATAAAAAAAAAAACACTAGTAGGAATCTTTTTCCCCTGTGTCAATCAAATTGGCGGTTTTACGTATAGTTTTTGACAAGCTATAGTTCTGTCATTTAAAAAAACTAAAATTACCAATTCCAGACGGAAAGGTATTATTATCGATAATAATATAAAAAAACTTGAAAATTCCCAGACTATTCGCCGCATTAATTTGTATTATTTAATATCCATAATAATATTATGAATGCGAAATTGTGTCTGTCTGTCTGTTACCTCTTAACACTTAAACCGCTGAACTGATTTAGATGTTTAGTATAGAGATAGTACAAGTCCCCGGAAAGGTCATAGGGTAGTTTATATCTCAGAAATAATTTTTAAGGAGTGAAAAGGGGGGGTAGAAGTTTGTATGGGGAATCAAGAACCACTGAACCGATTTAGCTGAAATTTCGTATGGATATACTTCGATTTTTGAGGAAAGACTACGTTTTACCGCCATAACCGACATTTACGCGGGCGGAGGATTTGTTTAATTTTGGCCTGCGTAGTTGCAAAAGAATAATGTGTCTAAAAATTCAATCTTTGATAAATTTCAACTAAGTATGCCTACTCTTCTTTGTAAAAATATCTCACTGGTGGTGAGCACCGCATCAAAATCCGTTGCATAGTTTAGTAAAAGTTAACGGATTAACAGAAAGACGCATAAAACGTCTTTGTTTTATACTTTGTAAAAACTCTCATCTATACAAATAAATAAAATTGGAGTGTCTGTTTGTAATATTAAAATAACCGCTTTTTACTAAATGCATGTGTATGTTTACACGGTACATATGCCAAAATAACATTTTTTACAATTTTTGTCTGTCTGTCTGTCTGTTTGTTCCGGGTAATCTCTGGGGCGGCTGGACCGACTTCGACGGGACTTTCACTGGCAGATAGCTGATGACATAAGGAGTAACTTAGGCTACTTTTTTTAGACTAGCTTCGCCCCGCGGCGTGGCCCGCGGTTATAACAACAAACGCGGGTAACACCGCGGGTCTCAGCTAGTCATACATAAAGTCAGCGCTTTAAAGTTACGCTACTGCTTTCATCAATTATGATAATGCGGTACATGCGCCGGCGCACGCGAAACCGCCGGCTTTCCTAATTACGCAGCACTACGCTCTTGCGATTAACGATAATTGTAATCGTAAATTTGTTCTTAACATCCATTATAATTGCTTTAGACTTGTCGTGAACGGTGTTAATTGCTATTAAGGATGGACCGAATAAATGAAGCGTAGAATACATGCCAATTTAACTGAATTTTTTTTAGCTTCGTTGCTGCAATCAAATATATTGCGTTACTATATAAATAAAGTGATAGTGTGAAGTGAAGTGATAATTTAAACTAATCTAAGTTGAACTATTTAATATTGAAATTGTTTAACTTGAGAAAAGCTTGGGTTATTACTTCAACTTTATGTAAAGCGTCTGTCCGAAATACGGCTAGCGCTGTGGGTTAGAGTGAGAGAGAAGGAGCCTGCCTATCGTTGCCGTATGCCTGAAAGAAATTGAAGCCAGATAGACTGGCTCCGTAACGCGTTACGTAACGA